CAATTTCGTTGAATCAGTTACATCTGTATACACGAATCTCGTTTAGTTTTACACATTGGCTCAAATGGCCTCTTAAAAATTTAAGTGCACAGGTAATCAAAGCCGTTCGAAAAGTGAATAAGTTTTTGGTTGAGCAAATTCAGGAGAAATAAGAAATGTTCCACAACCTGATTGTCATATCAGTCGCATAGAACGTGCTTGCGTAACTCGCCGGCGCGCCACTGACCCAGCACACAAATAGACGTGACAAGTACCGTTTTATGAAAAAAGTTCAAATATGTGGCTCCAAGCTGATAATGAGGTTTGAACTGATTGATTCGCACCCATGGTTGGGAGGCATTAGTTCACAAAGCGGCTGATGTATTCTCGAAAATCATCTTGTCATTCGGACCGCAATTTAAGAGTCCATGACACTTGACTTGGAAAGGTCACAAAAGGCCAAAGGTAGAGTGAAATAATAAAGTAAATATAAAAAAGGTGCAATACTTGAATCAGTTTTACTGCCCTTCACCACTGTCTGTGGAATCAATTAGTTACTATGTTAATAGCACATGCAAGGAGATGCTGAACAACAAGGTACAAAGATCCTAAACACCCAGTTTGACCGTAGCAGTTCTCATCGTTTTGTTGTCATACCGGTGCCTGTCCTCTGCAATGCTATATCAGTAAAGACTCTTTTGGTAAGCCGCCATTGCAATTTATGTCTCATCCACTCATTCTGACCAGATGAACCTTATTTTCTGTTCAAGTGATTGGGTTCCGATATGAACTGCTCGCTTACGTACCACTTTGTTGGGACCCGGCCGGCTTCAGCAATCCTCCGAAGGCATTGGTTGAATGTCCGTATGTACTTTTAGGAAATGAGGGGATCAAACATTGACCATCATTCTTCATGGTCCTATTCTGCTCTTTGGACGGGTGATTTAAATATTCAGGCTGCTTTACTTTAGGTGTTTCTGTAAGTTTGTAAGCTAAGAATGAAGTGAAAGTAATTGCTTGCCTGAAGTTGTTTTACTGAAAAACTTCACAAGTTGAAGAAAATATACTGTTTACTCAGTAAAGCTAACTTTACATGACATCAAATAATGCAAGACTTCTTAGCCGTGCATATGTGTGGTTTTTGTTGAATAATTCAAAAACCATCTTTGTCCAAGTTTCTTACCTCTATCCGGAGATTGCATTTATTTTTAGGGCGTGATGTTGGTTCATTAGTTTTCCTCAAAAGCTCTGACTGATTTATCTTAGTAGTGGGACACTCACAAACAAGCAATCAAGCAATTGAGACTTGTTCAAGGAAGCAAGTACTCGAAGTTTTCTACTATTAAATTGATGAATGTGTGCTACATCACACAGTGATTCACTGAGTGTTAGAGGTATTTTTCAGGAGACAGGAGGGGCAACACCGAGTGAAAGATAAAAAGCTCGGCTTTTGACATTTACCACTCACCATACCTTTCGAAGCGATTAAGGCAGAAATTAGGATGTTTTTAGTCCAACGCTTCTCTCAGATCAGCTAACCAAAAGTTTCAATAAGTTACCCGTCTCGTTAATGGTAGAAAGTCTTGACTTTTTTCCATGAAACATGTTCTGTTTAGCAAAATCATGTGACTGAGAACCATTCATTGAGCCCATCAAAATTTGAGCTCGTTCACGTTTTGCTTGCAGTAAAGTCCTATAACAATATGAACGGTAGGTTCAGTTAACAATGTCGTGCTATGGCTGTATGAGAATGTATTGCTACAAGGATTAAACTTAGATCTTCTTAGTTTAGGTAAGAAACTACTTGAACGCATCTGCTACCACCAGATTAGTGTGAATTCGCTTAGAAAGGATTATGGTTTGACTGATCAAAAGCGGTTATAATACAGAAACGGTACACCTTAAGATGCACATTACGGAAAATTTTATTAAATTTAGATTTATTCAGGACTATTCAGTAACAAACACGATTAAAAATATAAGTTAGGACACTTTGAAGTATACCGGCAGGTATTGTTAGTTTCAAACTATTCACTTTCGGTCTCTATGTTTTAGGGAAGAATGAAATTGATGGCTCAAGATAGGTAGTGCGGAGAGGTCCTGTTTTAGATGCAAGTCAATTAGGTAAGCATGCAAACGTTGCACCGCACCAGGCAGCTGTAAGTACGATATCCACGCGCAATATGTGGTTCAGTTCAACCTGGATCAATATAGTTTAAGACGGATTCACAATACTGGTTCGTCTCTGTAAGGATGCTGATCAGTGAAGCTTGACACGCTTGGCTGCACCTACATTCTTCCAAGTTTCGTTAGCCTCAAAGCACCGCTACAGAGGTAGAAATAACTGATATTTTCGCCCAAAACCAGCTGAAAATGGGCCGCTATGATGAAAAACCGATAGGCTAGACCTTTTGCAATTTATGACAGATGAGGTGTTTGAGCAAATCGCCCTTTGCCTTGAGTGTGGCCAGTCAATGTTAGATATAA